ATATATATATATATATATATATATATATATATATATATATATATATATATATATACATTGATAAGGATTTTAGTATGATAATTAAAATAGAAGACCACATTGTCAGATTAACACTACTTTTGTTTATCATGCACATACGCATTTGGTTATAGGTAGGTGATGTGTCAAAAGGTGTTGAGAGAACAATCGTAGATCCACATGCTGTTGGTAAAACATACGAATTTGTTGGACCACATTGTTATAAACTCTCGGAATTAATTGACTACATGTATGATCGGGCTCATCTGTCATCACGTTTCCCGCACAGGCGATATCGTCGTCGAAGTCTAAATTATCTATACAGGTATAGCTATTTTTTTTCATAAAAGTTGATTTAGATACCACATCGCAATGTAGGGTTGCAATGCTTAGTAGTATTGAAACACTACCCCCTTCTCCCTTCCCCCTCCCCACCCTCTTCCCGGTAGAAGAGTCTTTATATCGACAAAAATACATGCTAAGAAGTAGTACAATGTAGAAAAAAGATGAAGCGGAATGGTGCTTCGACTGATAAAAGGTGACTTTTTCAGAAAGCGTGTCGCTGCCATGTGCAGATAATTGGATAGTCTTAGCGAATACATATGACAGGTAGGTGTCTGCTACGTAACTGTAGTATATGCTTATTACAGGGCATATGTAGCGGCTGTTGAATTACCCTTCAAGTTATTCCGCAACCCGCCACCACTTAGTTTGGAATGGATTCGAGTGGTTGAATGTACAAGTGATGTACTTACTGGATGTCCAACGTTGGAGGATCTTGGAGTTACTCGGCTTGTTGAATTCGAATTAACAGGGGGAAAACATGCATATTTGTAAGTTATCACATCAGTTATTATTCATGGGAAATGTTTATCTTGTTTAATATTTTGTTACTGCAATAATTTTTTTACTTTATCAGGGATCGCTGATCATTCTTGGGCTGAATATTGTGTTGAACATGTCACCAATATCTTCTTAATCTTAGCTATTAATTTGTAATTTAATTGTTAATTCGGTCCATATCTAAAAGAATACTTCTTATACTTCATCTGCACATCTCTTTATTTTTACCGTATGGTGGTTTTATTTGTAGGATCAGCTAGTTATAGTGAAAAGTGTTCTTGCAACCATCTATTTTCTTTTCAACCTTCATCGATAATTCTTTTCGCTATACACCACATTGTTTTTAGACAGCATTTACATAATGCTTTTCAGAAGAAAAAATACAAGATGTGAAACTTGCTAGCATTTTTCTTGATTTCAGTTGTGTGAATCATTATAATGAGCTAGAGGTCACGGAGCCATATCCACTGCCGCTTCGATCTCCACCTTTGTATGCAAATGCGAAGCCAAGCGATGAAATCGTTACTGAATCGAAACCATTTACCATGAGTACTGTATAATACTGTCGTTGATGTCATCTTTGTCTGTTTACATGATAGCTTACTGGATTAATCTGATTCAAGGGATTATCTGTGCTTTCATTGTAATTGTCAATAATCGAGCCAATGTACAAATAAAATGAATGATGTGACGGTAAGCATCTTGAACTTTTTCGGGACTGGGTTCGTATTAAAATGTTTTTAGAAATGTTACTCAGACCTTCGGGAAGGAATACTGAAATTCTGGTTGGTCTTTGATATCTGTAAGTTAGCAGTAACTATTTTATGTTCATCTAGATTTGATCAATTTATATTACTCTCATAGGTCATCTTCTTTCGATGTTTCAGCTTATTAATCCAGTGGTATTACGTAGCTCACAATTACTATTATGCTTAACATTGCGTATATTAATGAGGAGAGGCGTTTCTGTTTAAATTTAATAAATCTTTCTATGTTGCACTTTCCCTGTTTTGTGTTGTGTAATAATCCGCTTTCTTATCCTTCAATCCGATTTAATCGTTCTTTTGCCAAATAGTTTAAGATTTAATAAAACAGGAGTAGATCCTGAAGGTTGACTGTTGATTAAATCGCAAGTGTTGTAAAGAACTTATGGAATGTTTATACAGATGGATCTTATCTAAGATCAAAAGATATGCCTAAAGGCGACTTACCGACGTCAGCGCTCAAGTTCGTTCTTTTCTTACACATTATAAAAAACCGAATCCCTTGGGAATCTTTGAATTGTTTATTAGCAGAATTTAAGCCCGTTAACTGTATGTTTGAGATCTGACTTTCCTCGAGGCTGTAGTTCTCCCTCTCTTCTAACAATGATTCTGGGCACCCATGCGCACTTCCGAATTCTGAATCTTAAAATTTACCTGAACCGTTGAATGCCGAGACTTTTTGATAGTTTTCCTTAGAGCTTTCAACGGGACTTCAGAACTTTTCCATTATTTCTTTCTGTTAACTTAATTTGTGATAAATATTAGTCGTTCTCAATCTTTATGATTTTATTTAGTGATTTGCGGACAGCATTCCATTCCTTACTGTTTTATTTTTTGCAATTTCAGTTATGGCTGTGATATTCAGAATCCATTGTCAGCATCTGTAATACGATTAATTGAAATGGTTTTAAAAGGCGATAACGATGCGAAACTGCATGAGCAATCGCAAATCTCTATCAAGTTATATAGTGAATCGGTATTTTATTTGTCTTATTGTTCATCGACTTTTTGTTTATTCATTACCTTCCATTTGAAACATCGACAATCATCGCAATGAGTTGGTTTACGGGCGCCTCTAATTTGTTTTTCTTGAAAGTTCAGTGTATCGAGCAGGGTGTTTTTAGCTTCCAAAGACTTTTGGATTATGTTTACTCAATATTCGACTGTAACTGCTTAAAACATAATAAATTGTTATTTGGATTTAGAAATCAACTACCAAATAAGAAATATGTTAGATAATATAAAATTACACATTTGTAGGCTGCGAAAAGTGTTTCGAGCTATCGTTTCTTGCTGAAAGGTCCCGATCAGAATGTCAATTTCCCGACTACTACTTTCCAGGGTGTAAACAGTCGGTCCACAGATGAATATTTGATCCAGCTACTGAAAGCTATTGAGGTTAGTGAATCCTTTATTTGTACAAAAAACTGAATATTTTGTATTGGCCTTTGTTATAGACTTAAAATCTAACCCATACTTTTTCTGGAACTTTGGATATATTCTTTTTTCAGTCGTCTTCCCCTTTTATCTTTTTTTCGTATCATTTGTGTTTGTTAATTGGTTCCATGGCTTTACCATTTTACCGCAGTTATCAAGGTCTCGCATATCTCAATGCAACAGTTTTTTATTTACAATGATGCACCACATGCAAATAGTAGTTGAATTAAGTTCAGTTTCGTGTCGCCTTTCAGATGATTTATATTTTAGGACATTCGGAAATTTTTTTCTTCCTAGACATAGCACCAGTTAAGAGAATAATACTTTCAGAATGGAGTTAATACCAAAATGCTAAAAAAGTGACACTGAGACATATTAAGTTTAATCAAGTAGCAACACTTTTTAGCAATTTGGTCTTATACCAGTAAATAGGTATTGCAGCCGAATATGTTCATACTTGAAAATGTCGGAAGAATTACCATTTAAATGAAAGTTTCAAACGAAATGTTTTTCTATAGGTATGTCGCAACGAATTAGCAACATCGTTCTTCTGTCGATTTCTGTTAGGTTTTATCACCTGCTGCAAACCTTCTGGTTTGTTTTTCTTTTTATTTGATGCTATGGATAGATAATTTTTGTATCACAAACTACTTACGGCGCTACATTTACTTGCGTGCTTCACATTCCTTTTTTCCATCATATGAAGCATGTGAAAAGCACATTTGAGATACACGAAAGAATTTTACTTAGTATTTCATAAGTGTTTTTTAAAATATTAAGCCAAGTCCTTTTGTACATCAAAAATCAGACGAAGCAACTTTAGTCTTCTTCCAAGTACTGTGGGGATGTAATGTAATTTCGGTCATTCCGTCAGAATACCACTGTAACACATGCAACTGAATTTTCATTACTCATTTTGAAGTATTTCTAAGTTTTATTTCCGTTACTTCTTTTAAATTAAAATATCGTTTAGAAAATTGAGGATTTTTCTCAAGTCGTTTGCTCCATCATTTTAATTTGTTTCAGCTTTTTTCTATTTTCTGTTCACGTTTACTTATTTCGTTCAAGAATTTGACTTCCAGTATTTTGGTTGGTTGCAGCATCATTGGTACGTCAGCGTCGCATAATTCGCTTGGATGGAACAAATTCTCTCATTAGATGTTTTGTGTCATTTATCACCGAAGTAGTACATTGTAGCAGTATTGATATGCTCTGTTCTCTTCTGATTATGTTATATGTTAGAGGTAATGGATTGATAACCCTCTGAATTGATGAGATGATTGCTAGAAGCTTGTTATTTCTTCAAGTTAAAGTGAGGGACGATAATAATTTTTCTTAATATGTGCGTTATTATTTTTGCAGACAAAAAATTTTGCCTGAAAGTTCGTTTGGATGGTTTAATTATGTTGTTCCAAAAGAAGTTACTATTGTTTGCTAAGGACAGGAAAATGATATCGGTTTTGCAATTATGCTGTTGCTCTATCCGTTCGGGTACATTTTCTTTTATTATTTAATAATTGAATCATTGAAAGAATGGTTGACTTGATAGAGAGAATTCCGAAACTTCACTAACTGAGTGTAGATCTACGAACTTAAAATCAGAAAGAGAAAGTGACCAGGTGGCGAATAAACCAAAAAAGAGTGAAGACAGAAGAAAGGAGGTGTTATGACCTCCATCGTCCAACTGATTCACCAGTTTGTTTTTGATTGCATTTTGTTCTATTTTTGTTTTAAAAGAAATAGAAAAAAAAGAAAACGAAAAATTGAACAGTTGATTAATACAGTCAAAGATTTAGCTTATCGTTTCTTTTTTTTTTTTTTTTTTGTTTTTGCACTATTTTTGTTTGGATGTCATTTCATATGAAGGTTAATTTGGGGGATTATTTGGTAGTCGGTGTGTTGAGACTATTACAGGGAGGTCGGTGTCCGGCTATGTCCGGAGACAATTTAGACAATTTAGAAATTTGTCTCGCACTATCAGACCAACTATAATTTAAGAAGGCGAACCCTTCAACAGCTAAGTGGAGACCGTAAAATTTAAAATCATTTTAAATGTATAATTCAGCACAAAATGCGCGGATATTTGGTAGAAATCGAGAATTTATAAAGAATTTGATAACAGCAATTATTTCTGGCACGGATGTAATAATTCTGGCTCGCCTTACAGAAATACTTCATGTAATCATCAAATTCAGTATGTATTATCATTTCTTTACTTTTTCGTAGTCTTTTTTTCAGATTTCCGGGTATTAACTTAACACTAGCTTGCTAGCTGGTTGTTTTCTTTCCCCGATTATAACAACGATGTTTTTATTGTATTATATTTCTCTGGCTTAAGAAATTTTCACCTTGTTGACTCAGATCTTGCCCATCGTGAATTAATTCCATATATATTAATTCAACAATTTCCAGAAAATCGTCCCATAATGACTATATTGGAGTCGAATGATATTTTTACAATATTAACGAAAACCTTTCAAAAATATTTCCAACAACAGTTTATTGCGTCTGAGCAGGCTACCCTGGAAATTTGCTTGTTTACGGTGGCATCGTTAAGAAATCTAATAAGGCTAAGTAACCATATTTTGCAATTTCTAGTTAAGTATTAGAAATTTCACCCTTATTGGAGAATTAATAATGACGAGAATGGTATATTCATCAGAATTTTGTAATTCTTTGGATTAAAGGAATTATTTGTTCCAGTTCTGTCCTTAATAAGAGAAAGATTGTGATAAAGTACTGGTATTGTCGGGGTTTAGAACGTAACAGAGAACGCCTACTAGCTGTTGGTGCAATGGAAATGTTTAATTCAGCTATCTCATTCATTAGCAACGACAAGGAGTACTTGGATGATGGCTCACCAATGGGACTGTCTATTATAAATCTTAAGGTTATATTTTTATAAAGGCGATCATGATGCAGCTTGTGGATCAGTACTTTCAGACTCTTTAAATTTTTCGTGCGAATTTGCAATAACATTCTTTTTTGTAGATTTTAAGTGTGTTTCATAGTCATATTTTTTAAATAAGGCTCATTGTACCTCTGACCTTCTTATGGCTCGACATTTGATGTAAGGTGGAGTTCCATAATCGCTTTGTTGAGATCCTGTACCCGCTCCGTACCCATTTTCTCCTCCTTGATCACTCTCATTCAAGAAAGATTGACGAAGAGCATTATTTTATCATCTTCACTCAGGGTCATCCGTATATCAAAGGGTCTATATATCCACACAAGTGAGAAAAGTAGTTAATCAAATTTGTCCATGCTCGTATTTTTAGTCGTACATCTCCTATTAAGCTTTTAGTCGTACAGCTCCTATTAAATCAGTAGTGTTGACTAATCTCAACCACTAAATTCCGCTCATAGCCAATCAACAAAATAACGATTCTGAATGCCTCTAAAATGATTAAAATTTTTTCTTTTTGCTAGAATTTTCATCTTTTTGACTTTTTTAATTTCTTGTTATGGAACAGTTCAGTAAAAATGAAGTTAGATCCTGTCATCAGTTATATTTATAAGTATGCATTTCTGCTAGCAAATCATGTTCTTATCCTCGTTTCCCTACTTTATTTATCCCCGTATTCTTTTTCCCTCGTCACTATCGTTATAGATATTCTTCTGTGGCACGGGATGTTTGATGACCAGATCGCTGGCTCATTCGCTTATATTTTTAGTTTCAGTGAATTTATTTTATTTGTAATTCTCGATCAGAATTTGATGTAGGCAACTGTTTTTATCTTCAGAACAAATAAGAATTTCAGTTAATTATTAAGAGATGAAAATCCCTCCCACACCCAACAAAAGTGTCTTAGTTGTTGTTCTTATTGTTTCCAAAAAAACTTTATTTCGGACTGCGCTCATCACTTAGCCTTTATAATCAGTGCAAAACAGTTGATTTCAAATTTAAAAATATCGTCATGCGATTGTGTTGATGTTGTTAGACATTTCTCTACTGCTGTCGTTGTGTCTGGTATATGAGCATGTGTGAGATTCAGTTCAAAGTGACGATGTATTTTAAACTAAATTTTTTTGATCAATTTATCATTCGAAAGTAGGAGTTGACTCCAATCTCTTAGTTTTTTTTTTTTTTTCATTAGTTGCTTTTCTTGTCTTGCTACAGGAGGTTCAAAGATTTACAAGTTCGATTATTTATGTAATTTTACAATGAATATTTATATTAAGTAGTGATTATGGGGAATGCAGCATCTCGTCTTACAACCACATTTTCAATTTAATATTCACTTATCAACGGATTTCGTTTTGAACTGTTTGATATTATTATAGCTCGATACATCATGGTCGTTTCCACCCTTGTTTTTTCATTTGATTTCAGATTTATCTTTTAATATAATTTAACTCTTTCCTAAGATTGAATTTAAATCAAATTTTTAATGGCAAAAGCTTGAAATTACATATGGTTTTCTAAATTTCACTTGAATTAATCACTTTTCAAATTCTTGATAAAGTCAATTATTTTTTAAATTAATTTTTGAAGGAATTAATTGCTTTTAAAATTAATTTTTAAATTGATTCAAAAATTAATTCTTAGTTAATTTTCGAAAGTTTTCTCGATTTCCAATAGATGTATATTATCAAATTCCAAGATATTTCAGGAATCTTTACTTGCATTGTGCATGAGTTGCCTCCCTCTTCGTCCATTCCCGATAGCCTCATCTACGCCACCACCAGTTATTTTCCCGCTTCCTAGAGAAATCCGTAGCAGCTCACAACAACAATCTCATTGGTAAATCCATTGAAACTCATTACTTACTTTCTTGCATTATTACATCAGTGATGACTCATGAGGTGTTTTTCATTTGTTTCGAAATTTGATTTCATTTATATTCACTGATAATCCGTGGCTTTCTTAGGTCGCGTGGAAAAAAAGTTGAGGAAGCTTTCTTATATTCAGTATGGCAAGATAAACCTGCTGTGAGTAGCGGTATGCTTTAATTTTTCTTAATAAAAACTGGTCAAATAAGCAGATTCTTGCTATATCTTGGACTTCAGGGAAATGACGAAATGCGGCTCTTATGAAAGTTGCTAGTAATTAGTCATGATTGAGAGATTATTAGAATGGGAATGCATCAAAAACAAATGATAAATACTTGATTCTTACATCAACTTCAGAAAATATGTGTTTTTCGAAATTCTGAAAATAATAGAGGTAGTAGATATAATTGTGGAAGTAGTTTTAAAAAGTTATAGTTTCCCTTTTAATGAATTTTCGATTACAAAGGAAATTGGTTCAGAAAAAAATGAAAAATGTGTGAGTAAAAGATGTAAGAAAATAGCAGAAGTAAATAAACAAATAAAAAAAACAAATGAAATAAAGAAAATAAAAGAATAAAAAAAATAAAAATGAAATACGAAAAAAAACCTAGTACAGAAAAAAGAAAGATAAAACCTATAGAGGTAGTAGATGCGTCAGAGGTATGACTTTACGAGTTAATTTTCATGATTCGCCATCTTAGAATCGTTTTCGTCGACGTGAGTCAAGGTAGAAAAGAGCTTTCAGTGCAATAGAACTAATCATTGTGTATTTAAATAACCAATAAGCCTTGACACTACGAGGCTCCACTGTGGTCGACATTGTTGGTAGATACGATGGTATTAAGTATTAGTACTTGAAATATTAGTATTAAAGTAAATATTAGAAGCTAAATACTGGTGTCTAAATGTTGGGCTTTGATTTAAATTCAAGACTTTAATTGCATGGAATAAGCTGCTCAACAGGTTATGATTCAAATATCTATGACATAAGTAATTACAGATGACGATGGTGGCGACGATGAAGACGAAGCATTATTTACAATAGCATCATTGCACGACAATGACAAGGATAGCTCACATTCAGTACCTGCAAGCTTCCATCACCGTCTCTCTTTGACTGAGCTAACCGATGACTATTTTCAATATTTCATTGAATTTTTTCAAGGAACTGCCGTGGCAGGTTCATCTCCAATGACGACAACTTTAGGGAAATCAAGAGTGAAAAATTTTGCTGACTTGGTGGCAAAAGCAGTGAAGGTAAATATTAGTACTGATTCATTTAGCTGATTTTCGTTTCAAATCTTTTAAATGAAAACTGGAATCAATTGTCTTTACTTTTAAACTTGGTTATTACTTGGAATTTTAATTCCAAATTATTGATAAAATAAGTATATTTGAACAAGTAGGTTATTCTGTTAACAAATTGCAGAAAACAAGATCGCCATCGGTTTTTATAAAAATTGCTTATCCAGCGACAGTTCTTCCAACAAAATTACATTCTATTTTGCAACCACTTGCAAAAGTTGATTCGAAACGGTATGGAATGGACTGAAAGCTAATATTTATTAAAGAGTCCAGTTAATTAAAGAATCTAATATTAGAAATTCAATTTATTAAGGAGTCCAATTCAGTCCAGTTAATTCTTTACTCTCTATATTCAAAAACTTATTTGATGGATACTTGATTGTTTATCGAGAATCAACTTCAGGTCAATTCCAAGAGGAAACCTATAGTTCCATCATTAACCAGCTTTCAACCGGTACCTCTAAAATCGGTTTTTTAAAAATTAGAAGGTCTTGCACATTCAACGAGCTTTATCCTTTAAGAGATTTATTGGCAAAAGTCATAGCACATTTGCGGGACGAATCATCATTCTCTGCTCGTACTGTATATAATTTGGATTGTTTGATTTCCGATGAAACTCAAATCCCTGCATCCTGGAAAACAATTGGAAATGATGATGAAAACCGGTATTATCCACATAATGAATTTTTTTTTCAAAAATGAATTACGTTTTATCGTGTTTTCTGTAAGTTTATTTTAATTATAATTCTTTCCAATTCTACGAGTAGCATCAAAATATGACTTAGAAGGGTGTAGTACCATAACGACCTCAAATAATTTAAGAACGATAATGACGCTAAATTGCTGGTGTCTTTTCATTCCAGGATTGGCAAAATGGATTCCAATAATCACTTGCTATTTGAGAGCCGATTTGAAGGTGGAAATTTGAGGCGAGCCATCCAAGTATTATTTCCAATGTCTATGCGACTTATTTATGCTCACTACAAAAGTTCACGCTTCTAGAAGAGAATTTCTGTTTCAGATAAGTAAAAGGCATTATCAGTTGATATTATCGCCAGATATCAACCAGTTACGACCACACTTTCAATGGTTCTTCTTCGAAGTTTCCAATAATGAAGCAGACGTGGATTATATATTTGAAATTATTAATTGCTTTAAAAAAACATCCATGTTTAATCATGGTAATGATTTGTCTTGACGTTATATAACTGTCAAGCTCCTTATACTTTGGATAAATTTCTTCGGAAGATGCTTCGAACAAATTTTTCATGAACAAGTACAATTATTGATTCTTAATGATCTGGTCTCATCAGAGAAAACTATGATCATGCTGCAAAAATTTGATTCCTGAAAAGTGATTAAAGATGTTGACGATGTCATTATGAATAATACCAAAAACTGTTGTTTACAGGTATGCAACCAGTACTGTTCTCAGTTACGGAGGCTTGTCGAGGAAATCCTAAATGGGTACGTGCAGGCTCAGCAATATGTTACTGTCGTAATACTTTCATCCGCAGCAATTCTCGAAAACTGAATGATGCATCTGCTCCAAGGTATTTCGATTCCCAAAACTTTTTAAAGTGGGTTATCTACCTCCAAAATAATTTTCCAATAGTGTTATGTTTTCAAAATAAACACCATATTACTAGTAAAACAAGTCGGGAGGCCCCTGACACGCCCAACCTCTAACCTTAGGAGACATCTGAGTTATTCAAACGCTATCGTCTTTTATTTATTTTCACCTATTCATCATTTTCGTAATTTCAACGTTATAATCGTTTGTCTGAACACGAAAAGATGATATTCTTATTAGAAAGTTAAAACTTCAGATTTTATTTTGTTGACAGCTAAAGAATATGTGTTATTGTAAAAGACAAAAAAAAACATAGCCATAATCTCTGTAAAGGAAAACATGTATTTCGTTCTACATCCAGTTTTTCAGGCACTACTTTTCGTTATATTTTACGATCAGATTTAAATATCAAGCGGACGTATGCTACATTGCCTATCATTTCCCTTACACATATTCGATGCTTCAAGTAGTTTATTATGTACTTTTAAACTTGAAACTGTTGAAACGGTGGCTCAGAGTTCGGGTGTTGAGATGGAGGCGAAATTTATGGACTATAGAGGGTCAAGCGTTCATCAGACGGCCAAGTAGCTAAAATTGAAGACAACAAATAAATACGGAGAACAGTTGTTTTATATTGTAATTAAATATAGTGATGAGTGTATGCTACTTTGTAACTGTAACATCAGTACAAAAAATCTCCAATATAATGTGAATGCATTATATAAATGAAATATAAAAGAAAAAGTTCGGTCTAAAAAGATCTAAATAAAGCCTTAAAGGGAGAAAAGAATTTCTTAAAGAAATCTTTATTTTTAAAAGATTAAGTGATTAAAATTTTTGATTAGTATTTTATCAAGTTAAGGAAATTCCCAAAAGCGATTAGTACTCCACCATGAGTGTTATATGCATTCATTTTTCAATTGTGTTTCTGTATTTTGATCTTTCCAAGCTTTTGAGGGATAACTAAATTTTGTGAACTCGGAAGATTTAAGAACTTAACTTTATTAAATAATAAATAAATAAATACAAATGAATAAATGGATGAATAAATAAATA